TTCACTGGATCGTTTGTTGACATGTCGCTTCCCCACCAGACTGCCAGCTCTTTGAGGGCAGGGGTTGTGACGCTGCTTCTTAGCCATCTCTGCATTCCCGTTGGTGCTGACACCGCGTGGGTGCTCAGTAAATGCTTACTGAATGAACAGACGGGTGCGTTTCCTGTTCTGCAGATTCCTGTTCAAACTTTGTTTTTGTACTTTATTTTGTTAAACCAACTACTGCTTCTGACGAGAAGTCCTACAACTCCTCTGGGCCCCCGTGAAGAGGAGCGTCCTTGACCTCAGCCAGGCTGATCAAGTCCCGTTGGTGAGGAATTGGTCTTCAGGGAGCAAGCAGAGAACAGAAAACAGAACAGAATTATTTTGCAGAGGTCCCAGAGGCCTGCATCCTCAAGGCCACCTGGCTTTGTCCCTTCTTGGTTGGTCAACATTTTCTTTGGTTCTCTGAGTTACCACAGCTTTCTAATAAATTCCTGCTTTTGCTTTAGTTTACAACAGAGTTGGTTTCTGTTGCTTGTCTCCAAAAAGCTCTGACTAATACAAGTGTTTTCCCATTATTCGTAAATACTCTAAAGACCATGAAATTTTTAATGGCTATATGTATTACAATTGCTTATTTGATTGATTTGTGGGTGATTTTTTTGGGTTTTCCCTGATAATGGTATTGCTATTTTCTATCGGTCTCTTTCCCGATCTGAGAATTTCCCCAAGAAACATACTGAGATAAATGGCAGAAGAAAGAGAACTAGAATTAGTCTTCTTTAGAGAAGTCATAGCTTGTTTCTAATACCTTAGTAGAATCCTTTCACTGGCCTCTCTTGTCCTTCTGTTTATTCATTCTTTCTTTCTTTCATTTTTAAATTTTATTTATTTATGTCAGAGTCAGAGTCTCACTATGTTGCCCAGGCTGGTCTCCAACTCCTGGGCTCAGGTGGTCCTCCTGCCTCAGCCTCTTGAGTAGCTGGGACTACAGATGCACGCCACCTTGCTTGGCCATTGTTTTTTAAATTTACAAGTCATTTTTAGTGTTGGAAGGATCTCATGGATTGTCTAGGGTAGGCATGGCAAATTGGTTTCATCTTGGCTCTCACCTTCAGTTGACTGGTAGGGATAACTTGAGCGTTATATCTGGACTCAGTGGGAAAAGTGAGTCATAACTAATTAGCCACGTGGATGTGGTCCCGGAAGACATATTTGTCATTCCTAATGCAACTTCCTATCTATTATAGAAAGTCTCTAAATCTATACTGTTGCTCTGAGATGGTTTCTGCGTAAGCACATGCATTGAAACAGCTCACTTCATATTTGGATTTATTTCTCCATTTGTTAGAAAGTTTTTCCCTGGTGCAAAGAATGTTCTGAAGCCCACAAGGTTCCATGTGATGTGGCCCCAGGCCATCTCTCTGGACCCTTCCCCATCCACAATCCCTCCCTGGTGCAGTGTGAGGGGCTGGACTGATTTAGGTAACCTAAAGCTAACTCTGACTCTGCCACTGACTAATTGTGCAGTTCTAGGGGAGTAACAATCTCTTTGGGCCTTGGTTTTCTACCTGAGAAATAAAAAAACTTGAACTGAATAACCACAAATTTACTTCTGGCTTTAAGGTCCTATTATTCATATGAGTCACAGCTGCCTTTTAGTGACAGGTTCCGTCAGCCCCAGTTACACAGTCTGGCCTTATGTGGGGACCTATGTCCTTTTGAGCTTTTTGTTCCAGATTAAACATGATCAGTTTCTTTAATCATTTCTCATATGATAAGATTTCTGGAATTTTCTCCATTCTGGTCATTCTCTTGTGGACACACAAGTTTTCCAGTGTCTTCCTGAAAGTGTGGCTTCCAGAAGTGGACCCAGGCTAGTCGTGCTGTGGGAGCATCCCCACTGCTTACCCATGTGGTGAGCCTGTCCTCTCGACAGACAACATTGACCAGGCACAGCCCGAGGGGAGGCAGCCACTAAAACATCCCTGGATTTGGGGATAGTTGTATTTTATAGTGTTAGAGGCTCTTTCTTCAGGCTGCATGCAGAACAGATGCAGGGAGCCATGGAGTCAAATCTGGAAGGAAATGATGCTTCCCTTGAAGATCAGTAAGAAACCAAGAGCTGATTAATTGAACAGGTGCTATTTCTTAGTAAACATGAAAGAAAGGTTTGCCAGAGATGTCATTAATGTTTGCATATTTTTTTTTAATGAGGGTGTTTATATCTATGCTGATGAAAAGAATGTCCTTTCCAACTCTTCTTTCTTGCTGTGCTCCCACCATTCTCTCTGATACCATGTCACATGACCCCTTTGCCCTAGCAGCTCTTGTATTTGTCCTTTGCACAGAAGGATGGGTGCAAAGCCAAGGAAAATTAAATGAAAACAAGAAAAAGCAAAAGCAGATTTCGAAAGCGTTCTGGCCTCACCACTAGCCTACAGGAAACAATGACGTAAAGGTTGTTCTGGGAGGATTCTGACACCCAGACTGATGGGAGACTCTCCCTGCCATCCTACCTTTAAGGAAGGGGTGTTTTGAAGCCCACAGGTCCCATGTGATGTGGCCCTGGGCCAACTCTCTGAACCCTTCCCCTTCCACTCTCCCTTTCTTGCTTAGATCCAGCCACCCGGCCTCCACTCTGTTCTTTGTGAACACCAACCATACTCTCACTTCAGAGTCTGCATTTTCTGGGGTCTCTGTCTGGAACACTCTTCTCCCCTGCTTGGCTCCCTCACTGGGCCTCTGTTCAAATGTCACCACATCAGAAAGTGTTCTCAGATTCCTTTATCTAAGACAGACCCCTTTTCCCAACACATCATTCTGTAGCCTTTTACTCTGCCTTATTTTTCTTAACAGAACCTGTTGACAACAGACGTATACTTACTTGTTTATGTATATTATCTAGAACACAAACTCCACAAGGCAAGGACTTTGCTTTGTTCACTACTGATTCTCTAGTGCCTTGCAGTGTACCCAGCATGTGCTGGGCCCACGATTAATATTTGTCGAGGTGTGACTTTTACAGCATCAATCTCAATGCTTATTAGCACAAAAATTGGTCTCACGGAAGTACTTTGTGTTTTTTAGTGGAGGATTAATTAGTCCACCAGTTGACAAGTGAGTCATTGAGGTTGGGAACCTCAGTTTATTTGAGCAGCGTGGATCTGTTCAGAAAGGCCATGGTGCACCACACTACAAAACCACTGTCTAAATGAGGTGGCTAAGAGTCACCTGGTGAAGGGAGAACCGTGAGTCCCACCCCATCCAGAGTTGCTCTGACCCGAGGTGGGCCCTGGAGACACAGGAAGAAAGGTGGGGAGTGGCATGGCATGTGTGGTCTCCCCACAGAACCATCCTGGCTCATTACTAGAGCCTGGGCTTTCTTTTTTATGTCATTTTTAAGGACTGAGGCCAGTTTTGTCCGTGACTAGGCATGAGCAATGCCTCTAGGTGGCAGATAAGGATAGCACAAGCTGCCAGGTTGGGTGGCCACATGTACTGTTCAGGTGCACTTGGGGGAAGGTGGTAGGAGAGAAGTGGGTACAGGAAAGGGAGAAAGGAGGACGAGGTAAAGCCAGGGGCCATTGGGGGGGTCTCTGAGCAGAGCCAGGCAGGGAAAGCCTGGGAGCAGTCGAGCGGAGGAGCAGTGATGTGAATCTGGAGGCCACTTGTGCTGATCATTTGTCCAAGGTGAAGTGACTGTTCAGGAACTGGGGAGATGAGGGAAGGTCCTTGGACAGGACTGACATCCTAGGTGGAGAGATTGAAGCCACCCTGGGAAAATAGTACTTCAAAACCCACCCTTGTTTCTTCAATGCCTCCTTCTCTCTATTATCAAGACTTCAGTGGGGACCCAGAAAAAAATCCACATACACCTGAGTGAAAGCAACAATGAACCTTATCAATTACTGATCCCTGAGGATAAGTTTAGCTCATCAAGTTTTTTCCAGTGGCGATACCCTAGACAGCTTTTCTAGACAGAATCACTCAGCGGCAAAATGTATTATATTTTCCAAAGATGGCCGCCATAATAACTTCCATCCTATATGTGAAAGTGACCTTCACAATCCTCCCATTGAGCAGTGGGGTCTTTGTCCCCTCCCCTTGAGCTTGGGTGGATCTTCTGCATTTGCATCTGAAAATGAGTGGAGATGAAGGTGCCAGAATACCCCAGCGCCCTTTCCTTCCATAATTTTCCTGCAGAGCTTCTCCTAGCTCTTTACTCTCCCAGTCTCAGGCAGAAAGACTCATCCTGAGCTGAGCTGCTTTTCTTGAAGTTGTGCTAGAACTTCCTGCTGGCTGGGGCAAATTTGACAACCCTTTTCCTGGTCACTGTGTTGGAGAGTGGGGAAAGAACCTCCATCCTCAGCCCCAGATCCTGCAGGAGGCATGAGGCCATTGGAAATGGTGAGGATGTCTATTAGTAAGATGTTACCTGCAAAATGGCACCCATCTCAACCATTGGACGCCAACCATCCTTGGTGTGTACAACTACAATTTACCTTTGAGGGGCTGTGAACTCAGATGACCTGAAAGTCCTTCAGGCCAGACAGAGAAGCCCCTGTCCTCTACCTCTTACCTTCCACCTGTTTCTAGACCTTTTCTTATGATAATACCTGGGTCATCAGGAAGGATCTGGATCTCAAATAACAGGGGCTGGGGCTGGAGCTGGCCGTGGGTGATTCAGAGTTTCTCTGTTAGTTCAAATGTCTAATGTCTTTCAGAGCTTGGGACCCGGGCTGGAGGCTATCCTTTGGTGCCAGTTGGTTAATACTTTATGAATAGAGGTGGGGGCGTAAATGCCTTGCACAGTTAATGTGGGTCCTGGAGAACTTCCATGGTCCTTGAGGGAACATCCTGTTTGGCCCATCTTGTCCAGAGAAGAGCCAGGAAATGCAAAGTGGGGAGAGAGAAGGGAGAAGGTTGTGCCAGTGCTTTCTGTCCTCCCAGTGTGACAACTACCCAGGCTGCTCCTGGAAGGCAGAATGGAGTCCTGGGGAAGATTGAGGATGATGGTGGTTTCCAGACACCAGCTCTGCCCCAGAGCATCATGTGCCTGGGCAGTGGGGTTCCTGGTGATGCAAGCTTCAGCTTACGTGGTCCCTCACGGCAGATCCTACACAAGGGGGTTCTCTGGCTCTGGAGCCACTCTGTCAGCACAGAGATCCTTCTTTTTCCCTGGTGAGGAGATCAGAAAAATAGTTACCTTTCCAATGTTTGGACTCTTGGCATTCTTGACCTGGCCCCAGGCCTCCGAATCCTAAGTGTCCTAACCCAGGATCACCTCAGGTGAAAGAACTTTCTCCTGGTCTTCCAAGAGCCTGGAAAAGGAGACTCTTCAAGAACAGGAAGTTCTTCCTAATGTCTAACCTTGATCAGAAAGTATGCCATACACTAAGCTGTGGTAGGTATAGGCAGTTAGCGCTGTGGTGGACCCAGTTAAGTGACTGCCCAGAAGCCACATGGCAGAGCCAGGATCAGCTTCAGGACTACGCGTGGGGAGGCTTTCCACTATCTCAGGGTCCTCTCTGTCCCTTCTCAGTGGCGAAAGCTGCTATTTTTTGAGCCTAGAAAACATTAGGGTAAGTGAAAGAAGCCAGTCACAAAGGACCATTTAGTGTATAGTTCCATTTATACGAAATGTCCAGAACAGACAAAGGTGGGTTAACCCACAAAAGTGGGTTAGTGGTTGCCTAGGGTGGCGGGGGAATGGGAGTTGGAGGGTGATGCCTAAGGGGCTATGGGTTTCTTTTGGGGCAGGGTAATGAAAATATTTTAAAATTGGTTGTGACAAAGATACAGAGCTCTGAATATGCTAAAAGCCATTACATTGTACACTTTAAATAGGTGAATTCTATGCATGTGAATTGTACCTCAATAAAGCTATTTTTTTTTAAACTACTCTTTTCCTGGCTTCCACCTTCCTAACACAAATCCTGGGGACTCTGTGGGGCAAAGGGCCAGGGCCAGACCCTCTCCATAGCAAGCAGGGCCTGCAGGGGGAATGCAGCCTCACCTGCTCCCTCCTCCCTCCTCCCCACTGGAAAAAATATGCAGTAATGGCCACTGCTTCTCCCATGCTTTGTGGCTGGGCCAAAACTCTGCCTTCTAGGACATACTCACCACAGTGAGGGCTCAGTGCCTCCCCTTTGCTGACCTGCCTACTCTCTCCACCCTGGGACCTGCCAGCTCAGACAGCCTGTGATGGGAAGGGCCACGAAGCCCAGGTCAGTCAGGTGGTTCTTTCAGGACCAGGACATCCTGGGGCAGAGGCAGGGGCTATGAGGGAGGAAAGCTCGGAACCTGGACTGATCTTGGAGTTTCCCCTTCCCCCTCTTTGCAAGAAGATGGCCCTATCAGCCACTGGCGGGGGAGAGGCTTCTCCCAGGCAGCCTGGGATAATGGCAGAAGGGGTGGAATTCATCCACACTTTCACTCCACAAATGTTTATTGATACCAGTTAAGGAATCACACTGTGTTCTGGGGACCACTGGGTATGCCCAATGGCGACCCAGCCTCTGTCTTTAAAGGGCTCAGAGTCCAGTGGGGGAGTAAGTGCACTTAGTTCTGTGATTGGACAAGCAATGGAGATTAAAGGAAGAACATTAACCAGCCCTGAGAGTGGGAGAGAAGGTCAGGAAAGGCTTCCTGGAGCAAGCACACCTTGAAGATTGAGTGGGAGATACCCCAAGGAAGGGCGGAAGTTGGGTGCAATCATGGAAAGTACGTTCCAGGCAGAGGGGATACAATGTACGAAGGTCTGAAGATGTACGTGAGAGAGTAGTTCATTTGGAGAACTTCAAGAAACTTCAAGTAGTTCAGCTGGTTGGAGACCAAAATATGAGACGGAGAAGGCCAAGAGATGAGGTGGGAGAGGTAAGGAGGGGCGGGCTTTCCGAAGCCTGAAGAGGAGGAGGTCCCCCTCGCCCCCAGTAAATCCACCTCCTCCACCTACCTCCTGCACCCACAGGGCTCCTACCTGAGCAGCGGCCCCAGTGCCAGGCAGAGAAGAGACCAGCCAGGGCCAGGAGCAGCGAGACCGGCACCACCACCAGCAGCACGTCTTTGTAGGAGGCCTTTCCTGGTGCTGGAAATGCAGGGCTGGGGTCAGAGGTGACCGGTGACCTGATGCTTCCTAATCCCTCAACCATTGACCACTGGCCCTTGGCATACCTGCTTCACGACGGCAGCTCTCCCAGGGGGTGACTGTGGCCAGGTCCCAGCTGACAGGGTTGGAGACAATACAGGAATAGGCCACGTCCTTTTCTCCCGGTCCCAGTGAAACACTCAGCACCTGCCCATCTGTGAAGAGGCTGTGTGCTTCCATACCTAAGTCCATTGTCCCCTCCTGTCGCCAGCTATAGGTTACGTCACTGACGTTGGGGGCCCAGCAGGACAAAAAGACCTGGCAGGTCGTGAGGGGCAGAGCATCCCCTGCCACAGCAATGAACACGTGTACCACGGGCCTGGGCACTGCGTCTGGGCAAGAACAGAAGAGCAGGTGTGTGTCACTGGGAGGCTGGGGCTTAGATGCCACCTCCTACTAGGCCCCTCTTGTTCTAGAACCTTGTCTGTCTTTCCATTGTCCAGTGGACAGAGCTGATCACATTAATTTCTTAGTGTGATATTCAAAACCCTCATGAAATGATCGTGTCCGTATCTCCAGCTGTGCCTCCTGCTAGTCCTCCCGGTTCATCGTAATCAATTTGCAGTTCTGCCATGCACGTCATGCTGTTGTGTATCTCTCCTGTTTTCCCAGAGCTCATCTGTGCACACATGCGCCTTTCCCTTCTTGTCCTTCTGGAAACTCCTGCCCATCCTTCAAGGTCCAGCTTGGACACATGGCTTAATGCCTTGGCTGTGAAGTCTTTCCTGGCAGTCCAGGTATGGCCCTGAGCTCCCAGGTGCTCCATCTCTCCCTTTCTGTCGCACTTCTCTCACAACGTGTCAGTCAACAAGAGATGACAAACATTTAAGGCAGGCAAGAAAACAAATACATTCCCGGCCTTTTGGAGATTACGATTTGGTGAGGAAGACAAATACTGACAAGTGATTATGAATAATTAAGAAATAATTACAAGGGTGCAAAATGCTATAAGGTAGGAGCCCAGAGGTGGGGGCTCTGTCCTGTTACCTCCCTAACCTTTGCTCTCTAGTGTGGGAAGTAGTAGGTGCTAGGTGCCTGGGCCACTGGACACACTGGTGTCCTGGTGTCTTGCATGGTGGCTTCCCTTTCCTCTATAGGGTGATGAGTAAACTTTGAGCCTGGGCAATGGGGCCGGCGGGAGAGCATTCTAGTGACAACGGGAGGGCTCTGTCTCTGACAGCATTCCAAAGTCAAGCAGAGAAAACCTTGTTAATGCCAGCTCAATCTGGTGGGATTTGTGATATGAAAAAGGAAATGATTTGCTGGGCACACTAATAGTATAAACAAAGATTACAGGGGGGATATTTACACCACTTAAGAGGACAAGCTGCTTCCAAACACGCTCAGGCACAGTAGAAACACCCATTGACATTTTCTAGTAACTGATCTGCTAATTCGAATCACTCTTATCTATTGTCAAAGCAGAGCTCCTAAGGACGGCTGCTTGGCAGATTCGTGCAATTAGTTCTAATCACGCTATGTATTTGGAAGCAATAAAACAGCAATTTCCTTAAAATCTGTAATTCAGACGCTGAGAACAAGGCATTTTAGAGCTTAGTGATGTGGGTGCTGCATGTATTACCACATTCAATGTCCTCGTTTCACATGTGCAGCAGCTGAGACTCCTAACAGGGGAGAGGCTCTGGGGCTTCCTGTGTGGTGGTGTAGGTTATTCACTGCACAAAGGCACTGGGCTAAGGGGGCTAGGGGGGTGGGGTGGGGGTGCTGAAATCCAGCCAGCACACTGCTTGCCAAGACATGCCACTTGGTTCAGGGCTGCGTGCATCCAGAAGGGCACCCTCTAATTGCATCGGCACCCTAAGTGGCTCACCCAAGGACAGCCAGTTAGCTGTCTTGGGGATTTGAGACACTTCCCCAATTTGCTAATAGCCTTTTCTCTCCCTTGCTGCTTCCTTTTTCCCAGCTGCTATCCCTACTTCCCGTCCTTAAATTTGGACTTTTCCCCCCCTACTCTGTCCAAATTTCTAAGGTTTTACCGAAATAGTGGTTTGGGGTCATTCACACCTTGTAGATAAATGAAAGCTGAAAGGCCATTCTTTCTTGACCAGCAGAAATAGGATGAAGGTGGTGGAGGTGGAGGCAGAGGGATTGGAGGAAAAGGCCCGTCCAGCCCCCGTCAGTTCAGCCACCCAACTGAGGTGCTGAGTGCAGCTGGGCGAATGGCCCTGCAGACCCACGTGGAGCAGAAGGTCCACCCAGCTGGGCTCTGCCAACCCTCAAAATCACGAGAAATAAAAATAGTTGTTGTTTTTAGCCTGTAAGTTTTGAGATGATTTGTTTTGCAATGGATGAATGACTGAGAGAACCCATGAATGATACATAGTTAAAATCTCTCTAAAAGAGCTCTTTTAAGAAATACAAAAATTCTTTTAATTATAGTTTAATGATAACTTAATTTTTAAATAAAAAACCCATTGTGTCACAGTTTAATTTGCAACTTTTTTTTTTCCTTTTTAGCAGTACATTCACTAATAGCATGTTCTGTAGTCTGTGATGATACCTTAACACCCATGGAGCCCAGGCCAGGCTCTGTCATGGACGCTTCTGCAAACGCCACTGCATCTCACACTTACAGGTACTCTACTTGGTGGTACTACAATGCCCATTTTACCAATGAGAAAGGTGATGATCAGGGAGGCTAAGCATTGTGTCCAAGGCCACTGAGCCCAGAAAAGACTGAGTTGGAGTTCAGACAAGGGCTGTGAAACGGCAAAGCCTGGCTGCTCCAGACGGGAGCTCACCTGGGAGTTCCTGCGGCGTTCTCTTAGATGTGACTGCCAGCGTTGCAACATGGTCAGAGGCCAGAGGTTTCTGGAGCCCTGCCCTCCCCAGCTCCCAGTGTTCGGGATGTCTGTCTGGTGCTTTGTGGGAGGAGGGGGTCAGGGAGCCAGTGTCAGGTGCACTCACCATATACCTTGAGCTGGAGAGTCTGGGTCTGGGCCCGACCCCTCGTGTCCACCATCAGCACAGAGAAGTTGCTGCTGTCTCCAGATTCCAGGGGCCCGAGCTCCAGGCTGAGGTTGCTGTGCAGCCGGGCTCGGCCCAGGAAGCGGGAGTGGTACAGAGTCTCCAGGGAGCCCTGAAAAAACATGGCCAGGAGCTCCTCCGAAGGCCAGAGAGATCGCCAGATGGCCTCGCGGACTTGGAAGCCAGGCGGGCGCTCTGCCACCAGCAGCACGGAGTCCCCCACCTTGCTCAGCACTTGGGCACCAGCAACTGCAACGGAAATAGCGCTGAAAGAACAGAGTCTCCGGTCGCTCTGCCTGCCCCACGCTCCCCATCCCTCTCCTGCACGCAGCTGAGCTGCTATGGTGAGAATTAAGGTCCCCCCACCCTTACTCCCTCCATGCAAGTTGACAGTGTACTTTGCCGGGTACTGGGGATAAAATGGTAAGGGACAGAATCCAATCCCCATGTTCACGGAGCTCAAAGGAAGCCGGACGTGCAAGCGAGCGATCAAAATAAATTATGTGAAGTACCATGATGGGGAGAATGGAGTGCCCCGGGAGAACACAGGTGGGGTGATAGGGGACCTCAGCCAGCACTGAGGGGCTCAGAGGAGAAATGGTTAAGCTGAGACTCGAAGAAGGAATGGGAGTCAGCCAGGCCAGGCTGCCCAGAGCCGGAACGGGGGAGTGTTCCAGGCAGAGGGAACAGCCCTCACGAAGGCCTGCAGGGAGCGAGCACGACGCATGGGGAACTGAGAGTAGGTCAGTGCAGAGCTGGTGGGAGTCAGAGCACGCAGGGACCTGAAAACAATTTTGGAGTTTGGGCTTTATCTGTAGAGCGATGGAGGGGGGGTCTCAGGTAGGTTTTAAGCGGAGAGTGACACGGTTAGGAGAGTCACTCCAGCAGAGATGTGGAGCATGCACTGGAGGTGGGGCAAGACTTAGGCTGTTTATTTTAATCCAAGGGAGAAGTGATGGAAATTTGGATTGAGGAAGGGAGCAACTGGCGTGGGGAGAAGTGAGAGGAACTGAGAGAGATTTAGATGGTGTAACTAGAAGGAGTTGGTAATAGATTAGTTCTGGAGAGTGAAAGAAGAGAAAGGAGTCAAGGATGGCTCCCAGGTCCTTGGGATCCACTGGATGCCATTCTCTGTGGTCTGGAACAGGAGAAATGACAGAAGCTGGGACGGCAAGATGCTGAGTTTTTTGGGACTGTATTTGAGTTAGAAGTGTGTGGAGACACCTCTGCTTGAAGGGCTTTTCTGACACCTTTGCTGGCAAATTTCTGCTCATTCTTGAAGCGTTATTGTCTCCTCTGACCTCCCTCATCCCTCACTGCAGGTTACACACTCTCATGGTCCCACAGTGGCCTGGGAACACCACTGTGACCACCCTTATCCGTCTGTTATCATTGCCTGTTTGCGAGTCAGCATCTCCCATAGACTGTGAACTCCTCAAGGGCAACATCACTGTCTCTTCTTTGCACTCCCTGTGCTCACCAGCGTTCAGGACCAGGCTATGGGAGAAGCTCAGAAAACTGTATGGAATGAATGGCTGAGTTCGCCAAGGACTGACCCTGTGCCTGACACGGGTACGGGGTGCAGAGCAGAATCAGAGGCAATGGCCAGAGCCCCTGGTACCCAGGTGCTGCGAGTTTGGTGAAGGAGACATGTTGTGGGTGGTCACTCGATTGGCCATGATAACTCCAGCCCTTCCCTGCCCCAGCCACCTCCGTCCACCCTGACTGGAGATGGCTTCGGTGTTCACTCGGAGTGGAGACATAGCACGTAGGGAGCACTGCCCAGGATGTCAACCAAGATGAGCTTCTTCTACCCTGTCCTGGCTCTACCACAAATCAGCTGTGTGAACTTGGACACGTCACCTCCCTCTCTACACTTCGGTGGCCTCACCTGTAAAATAAGGGGGCAGCACCAGGCCGGTGACTTATTTCTTTCACCATTAAGAGACCTTTTACAACTTATTTTTGTCTTATGTGTCTAATGGTTTGAAAGATTTTGTGAGCAAAACAGATTGAGGCCTCTTTTGAGGGTTAAGGGGGTGATTTTGGAAATATGTTTAGAAATGTTGAAGGAATATGCTGGGCCTTTGGAACCTTCAGGGCCAGGAACACAGGCGGGGACACAGGACAAAGCACCCCCAAAGTCCCTACCAGTCTCTGATGTAAACAATGGTGTCTCAGTCTTTGCCACACCCCACAAGTCCCCATCCCTGTCCCTGCAGTGCTGATGTGTGTCACATTGCCTCTACGTGACCAAGGGAGGCAACTCAGGCATCAGACTCATGGAGAGATCACCCAGCGTGAAAGGGACGCTGCATGCCAGCCATTCCAACATCACACCATCGTCAGCCACCCCAAGTCCACACCTGTTTGGCCTGCTCCCACCTCTCGCTCCCACGGGATACCCACCTCCCCTTCTGCAGGCTTGCAGGCACAGACCTCAGCTTCCCCACAGGCTGTTGAAAACACACTCTTTGGGGTGTAGGGAACCCTGCTCTGCCCTGCCCTCCACTTCCCTCTCCAGACTGTGCGTGGATTTTCCGTGTGTTAACACTGCCAGTCCTTACCATTCTCACATCCAACTTGCTCTCCAAACCAGTGGTAGCACCGGCTCAGTTTAAGTTCCCTGGGTCACAAAGCAGCTCAAGTCTCATGGACAAGGATGCTCCTCATGCTGCCACCTCCTCCTTGCCAACACCCTGCATCCTTTGCATCTGCCCGGCTTTAAATGTCCCAGAACTGGCTCCCATCTTCCCTACCCCTCCTCAGCCTCTGGGTTCTCACTTGGGTTAGGGGGGCCCTGCCCAGACGTCCTGATGAGGGCAGCTGGGGAGAGGCCTTCAGTTTTCTGGGGCTGGGCTGCCCCCCCACCCCACTTACCTTCCCAGAGAAGCAGACCCCACAGGGACCACATGATCATCCTTCTCCAGAGAGGCAGGCAAACGCCTTTGACAACCCAAATCCAGAACATCCTAAGCCAAGTGGAGGGACGGAAGGAGCTGTTGTCCTTCTGGAAAGTCCCATGTTCAGAAGGAGGAATCTTGACTCAGAGCGAGATGCCCCGAAAGTGAAAACATCCAGAATAAAGTGGAAGTTGGCCCCGGGCCTCGCTGGGCTTCCAGGAGCAGATTCTTGTAAGTCAGCCCGTTTCACGTGCATGGTTGGCTAACGCATGCTGACCAGCGCCCCCACGCAGCCCACATCCTCCTGGCTGGCTCCCGCCGGCCTCCCTGCTTCCTACTCTGTCCTGCCTCTGTCTGTCCTCATCGGAGCCACAGAGAGCCCTGTACACTGCAGTTCCCATCGAGTCACTCCTCTGCTTAAAGTCCTTTCGTGGCCTCCCCAGCCCTCAGGCTGAAGACGGAACACTTGGCAGAGCGTACACGGCTCTCCTGAGCTGGCTCCAGCCTGCTGTCCACGCTGCCGGTCCACATCCATTCTGCCCTGCAGCCACCGCGAGCCAGATCGCCCACTTCTCAGAACTGGCATTGCACACTTCCGCGTGCTGTGCTTGTCCCCCACCCCCCGCGTGCTGCTCCCTTCCAGACGGGCACAGCCAAGCTGTCCCCCCAGGCTTCCTGACCACAGCCGGGCGAGAGGCCCCCTCCTCTGTCCCGTGCGTGCCCACGCTTCCCTCATCGCCCTCGGAGTGTTGTTGGTGACAGTTTTCTGGGCTTCACGGACTGTTTAGCCAGCATGTTCTTGTATTCATCTCTGTGTTGCCTCAGTGCTCAGCACATTATTATAGGTGTTCAATGAATGTCTGTTAAATGAGTGAACGGATGCTAGACGTCGTTACACATTTTGCTTTACGGAAGCCCTGCAACTCTTCTCCGAGAGAATCATCTTGCCACCCTGTAAAGATGGGGGAATGTGAAAATCAGCGTGGGGTTAGGCCCCTTGCTGAGGTCACAGAGGGGCAGAGCTGGGACTTGAACTTTAGAGCATGGTCCATTTCCCACAGCCCCCCTCCTCATCCTATTTCTCTTCTCACTCAAGTCACTTGGGTTCTTATGTCGGAAAAGGCTTTGCAAGAAGTCGTTGCCTCTGAGGGAAGTTCCTCATTGTCCCCATCCTGGTTGGGACAACGTGTCTGGTCCTGCAGAGCCTCTGACCTGCCAGTCAAACTGGACACTGTGCTTTGGCCCCTGCGAGGGAGTAGGCATTTAGGACGGGGGGTGAGCAGGAGGATATGGGAGTAGGGCTTCTGTCTTCCAGGTACTCACAGCCAAAAGGTAGAAACAGGTACACCAGGGAAAGTGAAGCCTCGCCTGCACAAGGCACCGCTGTCTGCAAACGTGCAGCCCAGGCCCTCAGCACCGCAGGGAGGGTTGGGGAAGAGGTCTCTGTGGATCTGGGCAGGGGACGTTCCCTGAGAAGGTGGCATTGGATTGTGCTTTGAAATGGGCATGGTTTAAATAGGATGGGGAAAGAGAGAGCCAGAGGCTGGGGTAGGCTCTGGGCCTGAGGGGAGAGCAGAGTGTGCTCAGCCTTGGCCGTGGGAAACTACCAAAGAGGCTCCAGAGGCAGTGAGAGGCGCAGGCAGGAATCCTTTAGGCCTAATTGGGAAGAATGGCAATGGAGGTTGGGGGCAGGTTATGGAGGCCTTGGAGACAGGGTTAGGTTATTCTGGAGACTGTAAGCCTGGGGCTCTAAGCCTCATTAGGTACTTGGATTCTTAGGGGTGCTGGTTCAGTGGGGTGGGGCTGGGACCCAGGAACCTGTCACTGTAACAGTGAGATTCACTCAGGTGAATCTGTGGCTGGTGGACTGAGGCGATGCTCCCAGAAGCGCTGCTTGGAGGCGGGGGGCTGTTGCCTGTTTCGAGTGGGCTGGGTGGGGGTGACTTGCTGGCAGGAGGACAGCAGGCAGGGCAGGGAGAGAGAGCAGCCCAGGTAGCGGCTTTTGTGATGGTCTTGGAAAAAGGGGAAGGGCCTGAAAATGGAGGAGATGTCTAGAGTACAGAAAAGGGGCAGAACTGGTAGGCTGCCTGGCTGTGGGCAGAGAGGACAAGGCAAGTGAGTCATTTATGGCCCCATCGTCAATTCTGTCATTCATGCATCAGGCATTTATTGAGCATCTATTTAGGTGCCAGGTGCTGGGAATACAGAGATGAAAAGCTAAGCCCCTGACCTTAAGGAGTTCATAGTTTAGATGAGGCGACGGGATACGGAAACCAATAATTACAACCAGCATGGCGAAAGCAGTGCCGGACGTCTGTCCCAGGTGGATGCTACGGGACCCAGCCAGGGCAGGTGGGAGGCTGGGGAGGGCTCCATGGAGCAGTGGGATTTGAGGTGAGGCTTAAGACTATATACAGATGGGGGTAGGAGTTAAGAACTTGAGCTCTAGAATCAGCCTGCTTGAGTTCAAATGTTGGCTATGAAACTTTGAGCAAAGTAAGTGTGCTTCAGTGTCTTCTGTGAAGAGGGATTAATAAGAGTATCTACCTCTTAGTGTCGCCAAGGAACACGTGTAAGGGTTTAAAATGGGTTCTGGGGCACAGGCAGCATTCAAATATTAACCATTGCTACTAAATGGCCAGAGAGAGGGAAGCGGGGAAACCTGGGTAAAGGCAGATAAGGGCGTGTTTGAGGCGGAGCGGTCCCTGTTGCGACTCTCTCCTCCCAGACTGGGAGCACCAGGAATCAGGTCTCCTCATTTCCGCACCGTGTATATCGCCACGGACACGCTTTCTATGAGGCGATGCCCTCCAAACATCCATTGAATTAGATTGAATGATTCTGAAGTGTCAAGGCCCAGGGCGGGGAGTGCATGGGCCAGATCCCGAATCCCCCGGAGAAGACAGCGGGCGGTCACATTCCCTGTTCGCAGAACTGGTTGCCCATAGTGGTCTGTCCAAGCAGGAAATGAATTGCAGTTTTCTCTCTACCCTCCCGCCCCCAACCAAAGCCCTTTGACTTGAGGGGAGTTTTGGGGAAGCTGAGGAAATGGGGAGGTGGAGGTAGAATGAGGGCTGGAAAATGTCCCACCTCCCCAAAGGGAAAAACTTTGGTCCTGTGTGACCACGGGAGAAAGATGGACTGGAGAAGACAGCGATCCTCCCAGCTGTAGGGAAGGGTTAAGTCTGCAGCAGGCAGGTTGTCCTCACGGCTGCTAATCACTGGTTGGCACGGTATTAATTACCCAGCCACAGGGGGGAGTGCACAGGAGTAAATTAGCTGGTGAGTTCAAAGGCACCACTCCCCACATTCCTTAATTAAGAGAGCAGCTGGCAGCCGGGGCTGCTACTCCACCTCCCTGGGGCCTCTCTGCGAAGTCTGGAGCCGGCTGCATCTGCTGAGGCAGGCAGAGTAGCTCCATCTGCTGAGCGAAGAGCCTGCGCCCGCCATTAGCCTACACTCACTTCGGGCTGGGGGAGCAGGTGTTGGCCCCCGCCACGCAGGCTGCCCGAACTCCACCACTAACCCCAAGCCGCTTGCTGCGGAGATTCAGATCTGTGATGGCCTGTCCCTGAGGGCCAAGCAGAGACACGCTTCTCCCAGGGGGACAGGTGGGGGAGGAAAAGAAAAGTGGGGTGCCTCGGGAGTTGGGAGAGATGGGGAGCCAGATGGGAAGGAGGAGCATTCAGCAGGCTTTTTGGGCACCAAGGGTGAAGGAAGAGGAAGGGGGTGTTACTGGGGAGTGGCAGGCCTCTGTGGACGGTTTCAAGGGGCTGGTGCAGGATGGGGCTAAGGGGGGGCAGGTAGAAGCCCACCTAAGCCCTGTCTTTGTGTCTGTCTTCACTCGATACATCAGCGGACACCATGCCACCAGGCACTGGCAGCCGCAGCGGCAGGGGAGACTGCGTGCACCCCTTCCTGGCCAGCCAGCTTAGCAGTGCTGTGACGTGGTGGGAGGGCTGGGCCTGAGGCAGAAGAGCCTGGAAGGAGCCTGCCTCTGCCACTTCTTGGAAACACCCACTGTCGCGGAGCCTCTGCAGATGTGACATGGAGGTGGACTGGCCTCATCTCCCATGAGAGGGTGCTGGCAGCACCCCGAGCCTGAGTGTCTCCTTCATTTTGTGCCTAAGATGCCTCTCCTGTCTCAGCCTGCTCCTGGCCCTGCTAGGGGCAGGGAGAGGGGATGAAATCTCTGATGAACTAGGGGCCCGGGGCAGGCACACAGCTGGAGAGGGAGAACTTGAGGAGAGAAGAGGGAGGAGAAAGTAAGTGGGATGGAACAGCCCCCAGAGACGGCGTGGGGGGTCTGCAGCTTAGGTCTGTCCAGTCTGCTCGTAAGGCAAAGACGCGCCTTCCCAGATTGGAAGGAAGGCCGCATAAAGCAGAAACAAAGACATTGTGCTTTACAGAGGTAGAGAGGGACAATCTGGAAGCTCGTTCATGCATTCACTCACTCACCAAACGCTTGTTGGATTCCCAGCTTGTGCACACAAATGCATCAAACAACATTTATAGAGCATCGAGCATGTGTGAACCTCACGAGGTCAGGAGCTCATGCTGAGGAACAGAGTGGTCATGACACTAACGATGAAAGGTGCAATCACAGAATCGGTCTGTGCCCCGTGTGGGAGAGAATTCCAGAACAGGTACAACGACGTGAGCTGTCCTTTCGAAGAACTCGAGAGAAGAGCCCCCTGAGCAAAGGCCCAGGGAGCAACGCATGCCGAAGGAGCAGGCATGCTGTCGGCGCCAGGTCCTGCCAACTGCAGCTTCTTCTAGCAGTGCGGAAGGACAGGCAGACATGTGGCAGGACACAGGAGATCCCAGCGTTGGATGAAAAAGCCCGTGTCTTTCCCCCTCTGTATCCTCTCTCTGGATTTGCCTTCATCGCAGCTGATATAAATATGAAGGACACAGAGCTATTTAGTGGATGCTGATTTAAATAAAGCCTTATTTCCTGGCCAAATCTAAAATAACAAAGCTGGAATTGAAAGAAATCCCAGTGCGTTCAACCTGCCAGTTCAGGGAGGGACCATGCTCCATTTTATTGCTTGTGTCTGAGTTGTATAGTCACATACAAAAC